GCAGGGTGGGAGAAGTCACACGGGGCTATCCACAGAAGGCTTTTATGCCTAAAACATCATCCCCTAAAACATCATAATGACATTATTATATTTGCCAACTGAAAGCTACAAAGTGGACTGTTCACCGTTGTTGGCAATAAGCTTTCCAGAAGCTGTAGTGGAATCTGTTTGGCATTGCCCCTGAGCAATGCTCTCTGTAGTCCCTCTGCATAGAATCTGTGTTAAAAAATGATCACTGTCAAATGTATTAATTATGCAGATCCATTAGCCTGCAAAGTAGAGAGGCTGAGGTGTTTCCATTTTTGACTCACCCTTAATCTTGAAGCATTTAAAGACACATTGATGAGTGAGAGCCTTTTAGAGAAGGTTTAAGGTTTTACATGCTGATTTCAAGCTCAATGTACCCACTGGTTGTACTGCCTAACATGAGTGGGTATAACAGAATCACCAGCTCCATTTATATGCCACTTTACAATGTTTGCTGTCAAATTAAAGACTATCAAAACACTTATTTTGCCTTAACCCTAGGTTCCTTCTCTAGACCCATAGGTCATTAAGCATTTAATGGTCAACAAGTTGCCCACCACCAATGAATGGGCAGAAAACATGGGTAAGATGGAGTGTGGCCTCAACTGATATTTATCTGGGATTTGGTCGCTTCTATGAAGAAAGTATCCTCCTTGAGCTGGAGCCTGAATACATGATATGCTTTATAAAGTTAGCTCCTTTTTTAATTTCAATGGGTAGTCTACATTTGATGAGTACTGTGGCTAAGACCAAGCAGCCTTGGTAGCCTAGTGTGCAACATGTTGGGATTCTAGACAAAAAGTTGACGGTTTGTATCTGCCAGTTATTTCATGGGTGAAAGACGGGCTGATCCCTCCTGTAAAGATTTTCAGCTTTGGAGACCCAAAAAGCGTTCCCATGAATCAGAACTTACTCAACAGTGCTGGGCTGGCTTTGATTTAGGGTCACTGATAACATTTAAAAATAACAGTGCTCACTTTATGACTCTGGCGATACTCAAAAGTCTTAGAAACACTGTTAGAGAAATCCGATTGGTTTAAATTTCAGCTATTCATTCTCTAACACCATGCTTGATGAATAAGCTGGCCAACTCTTACCATTATTCTCAAGATAAGAGTTAATTCAGAACCCACCAGTTGGCAAGCTTGCTTTAGACGAAAATGACTATCATTCTGCACCCTATTTGAATATGTATTAAATTTTGGACTCTTTTTAATTAACTGGGTGTCTCCACCAGAAAGAGAATGAAAGAAGAATAGCCAAGAAATCAACATTATGTCAACACTTCAAAACTTGGCTCCTGGTGCTGATAATCTGGAGTGTTTGGTGTTTCCTTACGTTTTTGGGTTTTGGTTTGTTTTGTGTTGAATTCTCCCATTTTCTGTGTAAGATTTGCTAGGGTGTCCTGCCAGGCTCTACCTTCCAGTATATTTTCCTTGCTCATAATCTTTTTCTCGCTCACTGGGGAGAAAAAAAATTGCAGCATTTCAGAGATTCACTCCATGACTGCTGTGCCCATTTCCAGTCCAAATGCTACCCCTTGAGGAAAAATTTCAAATATATTGATTCTGTGTCAGTTGCACATCTATAAGATTTATCTGAATTTTATTGGCCTAAATGGGTTTCAAATGGGGAGTCAGTGTTCAGGTGCAGAAGAATGCATTCAGGGACCAGGAATTTCTACTCTGTCACACTGCTCAGCTGGTTTATCAGCAGCTGCGCTCATGCTTTAATTACCCAGGTGGTAGAGACGATTTGCAACAGTCTACCTGAAGTACCACCTCAGTCCTTTCCAGTTAACCAGAATGGGAAGGGAATCAGGCCGCGTGTGTGTGTGGGGGTGTGTGGATGTGAGTAAAAGGAAGGGGATAATTCTATAAAGTTCTCCGCAAAGGAATCAATTCAGTTGGAATTGTTTTTTCTATGTGGCATCAGTGGTGAACCAGATACTCTGAGGGACTGATATTTCAGAGCTTTGGTGGCATCTTTATTTTGGCTTTATGTTCAAAGGATGAAACATCAAGGGGATGGCTTTTTTTCTTTTTTATCAATTAAAAAAAGCTGCTTTAATTTAGCCAACCCTATATGTATCTCTTTCCAGGCTGGATCACTTTCGTCACATCCACATCTCTTATAGCTGCACGAGTTGAGTGGAAATAAAGCAGAGACTCTGATTTCAAACATATAATTAGGTTGGAGTCAAAGGCACAGTCTGTGAGGAAGGAGGCGATGTAGCGTCAGAAAGGGAGAAACTAACGAAAAATCTGATGTTTCATTGTAAGGGCCTGAAAACTATTTCAGTCTTAGGGTTTATTGTAGATTGGACCAATAAAGGGAGCCCCTCACAAGACTAGGGGTGAAGAGCATGGTTGGAAATAAGCCTGGTTCTGATCTCATTGCTTTCACTGCATTCCCTCCAGGAAGTCATGCACTTGATCTATGCCTTCACCTTTCCATCTTTAAAATGGGGAGGAAGTGTGTAATTGACCTCAGAGAGTGACTCTGAGGATTAAAAGAGAGACGCCATGGAAAATGTGTAGTGCGGTGCCAGGCATTCTATCTACATGCTAACTGCTAAATAACAAATGACCTCTGGAAGACATACTTTTTTACATGTTGTTCTTCTAAATAAAAGGCTAGTGGTTCAAATCCACCGGGTGTTCTGGAGTAGAAAGACGGCCACTTCCCTCCCATAAAGATCTTCAGTCAGAAACCTGATGGAAGTTGCTATGAGTTGGAATGTAATTGCTGGCAGTAGGTTTGTTAGATGACAAATAAAATATTAAAGTCCTAATGAATTTACAGAATGGGAATTACTATGCCATCAAAGAAAATCTTGTTATAAGAAAGCAAAAATTTAGAAAAACCCTTATGATTTCTTAATGTTAAAGAATAAATGTTCTTATTGTCATCTTAAAACATCTTTCAATCATCTTCCCCAATAGAGCACCCTCCTCCCCCCTTTTTTCATTCTTTAGAATAGATTGCAGCATTCTTTCTGGCTATGCCACTCCCACTCTGAACTTTTCAGAAGTAAATACTTCTAAATGTGATACTTTTAGAGACCATGCATGTGAACTCTAATCAAACTGAGGGCCCTAACTCGAAGGCAAGTATTCCATTTATGATGAGTAGAGCAAGTGTGGAGCCTTCATACTCTGGTAAACCTGCAGCCTGGAGAAGATAAATATTGTTTTAACATGAAGATGCTTTGCCTTCAAATCTGCATTGACTTAGATTATCAAATAGCTAGAGAGGATGCCAAAATCTGCTTGTAACGAAGGACTTTACACATAACCTGTTACTGCATCTGTAAAAATGAGAATGGCAGTTGAAAAGGACTGTCTGGGGACGAGGGGGAAGACAGGAGTAAGGGATGTCCTAGGCTGTTGAGTTCACAAAGCAGTAACTGAAAAAAACAGCTCGAGGTGGAAATTTTGCTTTGCTTTTCTATCTCCTTTTAAATATCTAATAGCTAAGGAGCATTTAGTTCCCATGCTGGGTCTGTGACACTCTAACACTTTCTGGATCCCTATCAAGACAATGTAGTAAGTTCTTCTGGGTTGGGAGCTTTTCTACTTCTGAGGCTGATCTGAGTTAATCAATATTCACCCTGCTTGTCAGAGCCAGTGCACTCTTTCCAGCTTGCAAAGAGTATATGAAAGGGTACATACACCCCAAAGGAAGCAGAAGTGAGTATCAATGCATTTGTAAAAATCCCCCTGTTATTTCCATGAGCTGCCTGAAGACAACGACTTCAAAGACCTGCATTATTGCTATTCTGAAAAGAATCTGCCTACGAGTTCCAAGGATGCCTGTCAGCCCAACTTTATTTTCAAAATCTCTGCAAATATATTGTCAGACCTTCTCTTGCTTCCCATTAAAGCGTGTCTTTCCCTTTCATTACAATATATTCTCTAGCTCCTTTCACTGAGAGAAAGACAATGCAGAGTTGTTGATTGTGTAATAAAAAGGGAAGATTAAAACATCAGTTTATTTCCATCCCAGCAATTACTTAATCATCTTATCACTGTCAGGGAAAATTGCATTGACAGCCTTTCTCTCAGATTTGTGAATTAACAAAGAATTCAGACCATCTCTTTTCTCTCAGAAGGGGACAAACAAACAAACAAAAGGAGATAGCAAGGTAATGCACTTGAACAGCAGTATACTAGTGGCAGCCAGAGAGTAATTTTGCAGTAGTTTGAATTTAATAACAGCAACTTTTCTCTTGCTCAGCGTTAGATACAGAAACACGAGAAGCAGAGCTGAGCATTTGACAGACAGGAGCATGAATGCTCCGTGCAGAGAGAGAAGGTGGAGAAGCAACAGCCACTTGTGATTACAGTTCCTCGAGGAATGGAGAGACGACATGCTAGAGCTTTACTTAACTGGTCCAAATACTTTTCATAAATGCATTTTTTTAAAAAGGTGTTTGCACCTAATCTGAGAGTAAGTCAATCTTTGATATCAAACCTTAGGAAATCAGTAAACAGCTTTCAGCACAGCACACAGTGTCTGATAGTTATTTATGGAGTTTAAGAAAAAGAATTCTTGCTCCAACACTTGGGAAGAAACTTTAATTAAAATGATGAGCAGGTTGTAGCAAAAGGAACAATGTAACTCACGAAATACACTCAAGGAGGGGAAGGTGGAGGACATTTCATTTCATAAAGCCCAATGTAAGTTTGTTTAGGCAATTTCCTCACTACATTAAAGGAAACCTGAGCTCGTCGGCTCAGGTAAGCATGTTCTCGTGCAAGTCAGCCTCTAGTTTAAGCCCACGAACACGAGAGCAAAGTGAAAAGAAAACAAAAAGCGAAAGATGCTCTCAAGATTTCAGGAATGAGATTTGGAAAGAAAAGCCACAATGCAGCCCTCCTGCACCTAAGCAAACACACACAACACACAACACACACGCACACACACACACATCTCCATAGCTCTGTAAATCAACATAGATTGCCACTTACCGGAGCAAATATCACCATACACATTTACAAAAGAATTGATAATCCAACTTCCCTCTCCTGAAAAAAAATAGAGGTTGTCTCATACTAAAAATAAAGCTTCTCTGTCCACAGCACCGGGCACTTGTCCCTCTCTTTATGAAGCAAAGGAGGAGAATAAGAAAATCAATGTTGAGGGAAAGTGGCTGTCATCCCAATCAGGTAGCAGCTTCTGCCTTATTTGCAGAGAGATGGCAAAACGCTCATATTATTAGACAGTGACAGCCCACAGCCTGAGTAGAGGAATCTGATACTTCCCTCTGGTGAGGCGCTGCCTGCATTGTAGGGAGGTAGCTCCCACCATGGTGTGTGCTCCCACACTTGGATCTTTGCTCACAAGTCCAAGTGCAGGACTGCCTTTCACAAGCAGCCAGCCTCACTCCCAGCACTCCAGCCCCCCTGGGCTCCACCAGCCCCCTCCTCTCTCCAACACAGCTCTTAAAAAGCAAATTGGGGAATAAAATGGAGCCAGGGAGTTGTGTGCTGGGGTGAGGGTGGAAAAGCAGTGGTTTTAGAAAATGTTTATGAATGTATTTGCATAGATTAGGTAAATGTTTCTACGTTTGTTTAAAAAATAAAAATTAAAAAACCCTCATTTTTTTAATTTCATTTTTGAAATGCAAGCATGCTAGAGTTAGCTCTCATTTGGGGGATTTCATACACTGCCCATAAATAATAATTAAGGGGATGATGCTGGAGACAGGTCTTGCCGGTTCTGGCACTGTGTCAGAGACAAAAAGGTTGCATATTCATTACAGGGCTCTTACTTAAGCCATCCTGTTGTAAAACATCAAAATTAAAAAGGTTCCAGAAGCTTGCTTGTGACCTGAGCTTACTTTTCCTATCGATACACCTCTGCAGCAAGGACCTGAGTTTGCCTAATTAAAGAGTTTAAAATAATGGTACCTTATGGCAACATGTGTTGGTATTTTTTCTTTTGGTTTGGCACCAACACCTGAAGAGGCTGTCCTCAGGTTAGAGGTCTCTTATACGGGCCTCCTAAGGGACTCTGCTGCCAGGGTCTTAAAGGACCCAGGCTCTTCTTCCCTTCGCTTTACCAGCCTCGAGGCCACACTCAGCACAGGAACATCAACTGCCCTTGATGGTCCCAGGAGTCTTGGCTTTATCTTTTATGTAGTTGATGATGGTTCAACCAATACTCATCTTGCTTGGTCATATTTTTCCTAAATGTCAAAATCAAGCCCACTCTCATCAGGTCAATTCCAACCCAAAAGGAGCAAGCACTCTGGCTGCACCTTCTCCAAGACATACCTATTTGTTATTTTGGCAGCCCATGGGATATTCAGTACTCTTTTCCAACACCATAGTTCAAAGGAGTCAATTCTTCTTCTGTCATCCTTATTCATGGTCCAGCTCTCAGAAGCATATTAAGTGATTTAAAAGACTCTATGATCTGGGTAAAGTGCTCTTTAGTCCTCAAACAACATCATTGCTTCTCAATAATTTGGAGAAGTCCCCGACTAGAGACTTTCTGGGTGTAACACTTCTCTTGATCTCCTGGCTGCTGGTATCAAGAGTACTGATTGTGGATCCAAGTAAAATGAATTTGTTGACAGTTTCAATCTTTTCTCCATCTATAATGATGTTTTCTATTGGTCCAGTGGTGAGAATTTTTGTTTTCTTGATGTTGAGATGTAATCCATACTGAAGAAATGCAGTGTTTGATCTTCTGCAGCAAGTGCTTTAAGCCTTCCTCACTTTCAGCAAGCAAGATTATGTCATCTGCACATCAAAGGATGTTGATGAGTCTTCCTCCAATCCTGATGCCACATTCTTCTTCATAGTGTCCAGCTTCTTGAATAATTTGCTCAGTATACAGAATGAATAAGTTTGAAGAAAGGATACAACTCTGATGTACACCTTTCTTAATTTTAAACCATGTAGTGTTCCGTTGCTGTGTCAGGAAAGTTGCTGTTGTTGTTGCTATGTGCTGTCGAGTTGCTTGCGACTCATAGCGACCCTATGTACAACAGCGCTAAATTCTGCTCTGTCCTCTGTCAATCGCACTGTCTCTGATACACCCACCCTGATTACCCCAGTCACTGAATCAATCCACCTCATAGAGGGCCTTCCCCTCCTGCATTGTCCCTCCACCCTGCCAAGCATGATGTCCCTCTCCAAGGACCTGTTCCTCCTTACAGCATATCCAAAGTATGTTAGACAGAGCCTCAGAATCCTTGCCTCCAAGGAGCCACCCAGTTTAATCCTTTCCAGGATGAATCTGTTTGTTTTCCTAGCAGTCCATGGTACCCCAGCTCCCCAAACAAACTAACCAAAAACCCAACCCAAACTAACAATCCCAAAATGATATATGATAAGGAGTCAGGTGACCTGGATTCAAGTCCTAATCCAGTTGGCTGGGCAAATCCTGTAACATATCTGTGCCTTAGCTTGGCCTTTGTACAATGAGTGTCACAGCATCTCCTGGAGTTGTTGTTGGAGAGGTGTGGAGAATGGTTAAAACTGGCTACACACCCACATGTCTCACAACAAAACTAAGCTCAAGATCCTTCCCTTCCTTCTTTCCTCTGCTTGTTCTTTATGCATAAACCTTCAGGATACTTCCCCAGTCTTCAAACTGCACACATCCCTGTGGCGGCTTTGAAATTATGATTTCATCACACCATCCCTCACCTGCCTATTGAAAAATCACCGTGTTTCAATGGAAGAAGTCACTCTTGGGAGCAAATTAAGCAAGTGAATATAGTGGGAGCAGAAAAAAGGCTAAGAACCAGGAGGCTTTTGGAGTAAACACTCAGTAAGTACTGGCTGAGTAAATGAATGAAAGACTAACTGAATGAATAAAGCCCCAGGTCACAGCTCCTGCAGGGAGGAGGCTGACAGCCTGCAGTCAGAGGCTGCAGAGTCCAGCCTTATGCCTATGGGGGAGAATCAAGATGAATCATTGATTCAGAGTTGAGGGTGAGCATTTCTTAGTTTTAATATTATGAGAAAAAGAAAAAAATATTCCTGTATAATAATGGGAAGTTTCTTACCCCTTCCCTTCTCATACAATAGAAAAGTTGGGAAATTTTATCCTGTTATTGTTATTGTTAGTTGTCATCCAGATGGTTCCAGTTGACGTCAACTCCACAGAGAACAGAATATTGCACAGTACTGGGCTAGCTTCACAGGGTCCTGCCATGCCTAATTTCACTGTTGTGGTCATTGTGTTTTTTTTGGGTGCCCTCCAAAACAGGGACATCACTTAGTGCTGAAGACAGTCAAGTATTTGCCCACTAACAAACGCATCCAAGAAGAGGCACCTTGGGAGAAAGATCTAGTGATTGACTTTCAACACATCATAGCAATTGAAAACTTATGGAACACAGTTGTACTCCTATAAATTAGGACGCAGCCACCAGGGCTTTTCAACTTCAGGTTCCTTTTTGTTCCATTCAATTGGTGTGAATACAGTTTCATTGACTAATTTTTGAAAGTAGATTGTCATAGTCTCTTTTGGTCTAGACGCTCTTCTGAAGCCTGTCTGCCATTAGTGAACCCTGCTGGCATTTGAAACACTGTTAATGTAACTTCTAGCATCACCAGAACATAGAAGACATCACAATGTCACAACTGAAATGATAGGCACTATCTTTTTTGGACTATGAGAGTCTTTCTCTTGCTCCTTTAGTCATTGTGTTCTTTGTGCATAACACTTCAGATAACCCCTCACTCTTCAAATTGAATCCCTGTAGTCCTCTTTGACATTCTGAATCTGTCATTCATTAGACTATGAGGAAATTAAAGTCTAAAGAGTAAAGTCCATAGTTAATAACCAGGAAAATCAAGATTTGAATGTGGTCTGATGCCATGATCCAAGCCTTTGCTCGAAATGGAACATAACACTTACCATCTTATTTGTTCATTCTAGAGCGTATGAGTAATCCACATGCAGATTCCTTCAATAGTGCCACATCCCTCCTCACTGCAGATCACACAGACTTCACAGATTCAGAACATAACGACTTAGAAACCTTAGTGTAGACAGTGGGTCTACCAAACAAAGACGAAGTCTAGAGTCTACCTCAACAGCCTGGTGGCTGGGAGGCATGAGACCCAGTCTAAAATGTGCCGGAGGTTTGCTCTGTAACCTTCTATGTGTTCCTTAGTTTACCCATGCCTCAGTTTTTCTCCAGTTCAAATAGAAAGAACCCCACTGCATGATTTTCTAAATTGGTTTTGAATAGATAACATTCTAAGACTTCTATGTTGATTCCATTCCCGAGGTTGAGTTAGATTATCTTGCTTCCCATTTTGTTTCAGACTAATTGTTAGCATTCTCTGTCTCTCCCCTGGGATCACTCTACCACCTTCATTGCCTGTCTGGACCTGTGCAGTAGAGCCTCCGGAGAGATCCTTGTTTTCCCATTTTTCCCTCCATAATTAATTTCCCACAGAGTGCCCAGATTGAGTCTTTTAAAATATCAACTAAATCAAATCACTCATCTAAGAAATAGACTTCATTGGCTGTCTAGTTGACTTAAAACAAAACCTGAACTCTGTATCATGCCTTCAAATCCTCTTGTGATATGATTCCCACCTACTGTTTTTGGTTTTATCTCATTCCAGGTTTCCCCCTCTATCCTCTACAGCTGTACTGGGCTTACTATTCCTTACTACATTTCACTTACTATTCCTCTGCCTTGAACATTTCCCCCCTCAGATATTGATCTGCTTTTTCTTTGTTATTCAATTAATCTACTCTTTTCTATATTGTTTGTTCTCTAAAGGAATTCCAACTCACTCAATCTTAAATAAATAAAAATACTCTCTCCTATACCATTTTCTTTCCATTACATCAAACACTTTTTTGTCTCTCTTTTTCTCTGTGTGTGTGAGAGAGAGAGAAAGAGAGGGAGATTCAGAGAGTGAGATTATTGTTCTTTGACATATTCTTTCTTATTCATTTTTCCATTACTGATTATCTGCTTCCACTCAGAGGTAAACAGCAAGAAAACAAGAAGCTAGTTTGCTTTGCTCAGTGCTGTATCCTCAGTGCTTATGAGAGCACCTGGCACACAGTAGGTGTTCAGAGAACATTAGATGAACAAATAGGTGGATGACTAAACCAATAGATCAGGATGAGAGAAAAATAGACTTGTGATAGAGTTAAAGAAATCTAAATTTACTTAAGAACTTAGCCTTAAAACATAGGGCTGATGAACAAAGATGATTGAATAAGCAATATTAATGGATATAGCCTGTTTTATTCCCTCATCTGGAGAGTATTATTGAAAG